CCACATATTAAAAACACATTGGGCTACTTCTTTAAAAATTTCTTTTATATGTGCAGCCATATAACGAACATAGTAAACGTCCTTGAAGTACTATAAGTAAATAGTCACAACAATTTGAAGTTAATAGGTAGCTAATTAAAATTTATAATTGAAGTGTAATTAAATTATATATATATATATATATATATCTTGTCAGATAATGTGATAGGGCCATGGGGAATAATGTCCTTCATAAATTTCATCAAGCAATAACCATAATCATTGCTCTGATCTGATTGGAGTTGACACTGTAAAAAAATACATATCAATAAAATTGTAAAACATGCCACAGTTTCTTGATTAAAAATTTAGCCAATTAAATGAATACCTTAACAGTGACTCATTTCTTTGAAGATTTGAATGCTCTCATCCTAGGGGACATAGTCTTGTCGATTGCAATGCGATATAACACCACAGCTCTAAGAAAGAAGTATGAAATGAACGTGAGAAATATATATGTATGAAAACTAAAAACAACAAGTGAAAAAAATCCAACTTACTCCTTAAAAAGTACCATTATATCTTCCTTGTTGCTTGGTTCTCTATTAAAGGGATTGAGATATCATATTTTTAGAGCAACGGGATTAACTACAATAAGCAATTAGTGTCCCTTAACAAGAAATAGTATGTGTTATCAAATAAGTAAATATAAAATTTTTTTACTCATAACAAGCATTAACAGCTCACTGCTCACCCTTGGCAGTAAGTATCGAGAAATAAAGTATCATTCTCTACTCCCCTTTCTCAAAATTGATCTGAAAGCACTTTTGCTTAATTTTTAAGAGCTTCCTTCATAGTATCATTGTGGGAGAGACATCATGAGGATTAGCCAACTTGATTCTTGACTTGAGGCCATGAGGAACCATGAATAAGGTATAAAAGTGACTTGGGTAAAAAAAAAACAAATAAGTTAATATGCGTGCATACACACACATATGCATATAATTCAAGTAATTAACCAACAAATATTGAAGAAATACCTTAAGTAGAAGGTCATCAAACTAGTACTCTCCATGTTTGTATATTCTCTCTTTAATCTTATTTAAAACCAATAATTATATTTTAGTGCTAGCCATTAAAATAATTTTAGCAGCATAATAATTTAAAAAAGAGAGTTTTTTGGGCTTTATGCCCTTTCTTTATTAAAAAATTTCATTATTCAAGTTCTCATATAATTTAATTATACTCAATCAAGTTACCCAATAACAATTAATACAAAAATTTTATCTTAAAAAATTTGGCTGCATAATGGCTTAAAAAAGAGGGTCTCTTAGGTTTTAAATCCTCTCTCTATTTAAAAATTTCATCATGCACAAGTTCAAATATAATACTTATACCCAATCAAATTATCCAGCAACAATTATGTAAAAATTTCATCTGAAAATTTCAATATAACTCAATCATACCTAATCAAGTTATCTAACGAAAAAATTATCACCATCACCACAACAAGGGAAGCAAATTTTCAACAAAATCATATAATGCCCAACAGTAAAATAATTTTTATATAATTCTAAATTTAATTTCATAATTAACAAAGAACCAAAAATCGAAGGCTATACATTCAATCACAAGATCATAGCTCTAATGAACAAAAATTTCATATTCCAATCAACTCCCTAATTACAATCAATTGACAACAATGCCATAATGAAAAAGGATAGGCCAACTTACTTGAGGAAGGCAGAGCATGAGGATGAAGAAGAAGAAGAGGGGAAGGAGGAGAGAACACAACGTTTTGCACTATTGAAGAGCAAGAAGGGAAATTTCAAGTTGAATTTACCCTAAATACTAAACTCAAAAATGAATTAAGTAGATGAAAGGGAAATTAAACTTACATATGTAGGATGGAGAACAAACCCAAAACACTTGAAATGAAGTCTTAGATGAACGAACCACGCAGGAACCCCAAAAATTGAAACCCATGAGCAAAACCCATGAAGAATCAAGTGTCAATTTGTGTTTTTAGGTAGTTTCTGTGATGGAAAATGATTTTCGACAGTTTGAGAGTGTTTTCAAAACTATTCAAGTTGCAAAAATGTGAAAATGAAAAGTTCTAAAGTATAAATTTAAAAGAAAATATTTGATGGTTATTTAGTAATAGCCATCAAATATATTTTAGTTGACACTTGTTACTGAAAAACTGTCAAATAATAGCCAGACATGCTTGACGATTCTAAATAACCAAGTGTCAAGTAATTAATTTTGTTATTTTTCTATTTAAATTATATATTTGATGCTTGTTTGCATATAACCGTCAAGTATATTAAATATACTTAACGGTTATATTAAAAAAAGGGTCAAATATATTTATAAAAAAAGGTGTCTAAGATAAAGATATATTTGATGGTTATGATAATATAACCGTTAAATTTAGCACCTTTTTTTTATCATTTTTAATTTATAACCATCAAATATATGGCATCATATTTAGCCTATTTTATTGTAGGCCAACTTCAATTATACATTCTTAGCTTTTTTTTTTTTTTTGGTTGATAAACTCGATCAGTTCAATTATACAATCTTGTTGAAGAAGAAGGCGGGGGTGGGGATAGCGGATAGCATTTGATAAATGACTATGTGATTTCATTTATAAGCATGTGAAGCACAGAAAATTTGTGTACATGATGGGGATTGAAGAACCGATTTGGAATAACAGTTCGTTGATATTTTATTTTCTCCTGCCAGAATGTAAATCACTATATGTTTTCGTATTTATTGCTTATGTCGACCACTACTAGTCCACTACACTACGTTGTATCATAGTGGACTAGGATATGTTTTGAATTTTCTTAAAATTTCAGAGATATTTCTTTTATTTTAAAATATAAATATATCTCTCTTGAAAATTATTAACGCAATTTAAGGGATCCTTTTACAAACTTGTTGGTTATATGTTTTATTCTTTATTTTTAGGAAAATTTTGCATAATTTTTAAAATGGAAGAGTTTTTATAATTTCGACAAAATTTAAGAAAAATCATGTAATTTGCATTTTATTTTTAGAAAAAAAAATTGTTGATGTGGGTGTGTGTGAGTGAATAGGTCCTAATAAATTTTGAAATTGGATAAATTGATTGGTGGCTCTCAAAAATAGTCAATAATTGCATAATTGGAGGGAGACTTGCTTGGTAAGGCCAGAAAGTTGTTGGGATATTGTTTTCCAAACGTAAAATCAATATTATTAGCCTCTAAATCTAACCAAAGCTATGGCCACACAACGTAACATGCATTATCATATCATCACTGCACTCAAAATCTTCCATTAATTACTTGGTTATTAGGCTATTCTCTCTGTTATATCATAACGTCAATGTTGGCCCAAACGTAGACACTCTTACCAATTAATCAAACCAAATTTTGCAGAAAATCTTTGGAATTTTTTGCCATCTCATCATATGGTTACCACCACAATCTTAGGCTTGACTTTGAAAATCACATGTCTATTACTAGTATCTCCCATTTGGGAAGATAATTCATTTCATGAAACTTCGGACTTGGATTAAGTTAAAGAGATTATCAAACACAAACACGTTCTACTTGAGTTTCTATATACATTGTGTTCTCTGTAAAGCAGGATAGGATTTTCCTTTATAAAGAAAGCTGGCTTTTCAGATTGAGTGATAAAGGTATCATGTTGAATCTTAAGAAGAGTGTTAAATTACAATGTGACGAGTACAATATGTATATTGTGCTCCCTTGTGTTTGAATTTTCTGTTTCAGATTATATTTTGACGTCACCGCAGCATGAAGTGGATGCCATACTCGACAGTGAATAGTTTGTGTTTGTGACACTAATCAGGTTATAGTTTTTCCCAGTATAATCCTAACTTCTAAAATTCATTGAGGTCAATTACAAGGTCATAGAGTAAGAATAATAATGAAACAAAATAGCGAATTCACAATTTCAGACTTAAATTATCAGCAGAAACAAAACATATATACAAATATATATATATATATAGAGAGAGAGAGAGAGAGAGAGGAGAGAATTTTATCCTGAAGAGGATGAACCGTAAGCCAGAGATAAAACTCCTGGTTACAATATCAAAGAAGCATTACTTAAATAATATTTTCAATAGCTTTTTTTTTCCTTTTTAAATATAATTCAGTCTTCCCTACTATAACTGCTCTTTTCTTTCATGGTTAAGTATGAGAATAAGGATGATGATGGTAATCGAATATCCATATGGCATTTTTTCTTATATTTAATGCTCTTTGCTTTCTTTTCTCTCTGTTTTGTATCAGACAAGCATCATATTACAGCGCAATCACTCTTATCTTGATGATAAGTTATAGATGTATTTATATTTTGATACCCAGTTTTAAAGTGTTTCATAAGTTCTTAGTTAATTTTTGTAGTATTTTTATCATAATCTTTTGCAGCCAAATTGGCTTGAATATCTGTCCAATACTCTGTTTCCCTTCTCCATTCACATGTAACTTTTACTTCCCCAAAAAAAAAAAAAAAAAAAAAATCTTGCCACTACTCCGAAAGTTATGGCTTCTCACCGTAGTCTTGATTCTTGACTAAGTTGTGATCCTTCAACAATCACCATGGAGAATTACTTTCGCTGATGACATTATTAAGTCCTCATCAAATAGCTTGTTTCTGGTAATTAACCTGGGTCTGATTGTAGTTCTAAGTTAAATTGCAATCATTATCAAGGGAGTTCCGTCAAGAAATCAATTTGATTGCTTAAACAGCCGCGAGTATAGTGTGGTCACAACTTGAGATAATCTTTCTTGGGAAAACTTGGTCTCCACAAACTTTGAAGGTACAGCAGCACAGGATTGTTCATCTGGGTCCATTTCCAAAGGTAATAATTATGAATTTGTTACAAAATCATTCAAGAGCTTGACCTAACTCGCACCAACCTCATAATGATGACAAAACCCAGAAGAATTCACAGCCCTACAACCACTTCCGGAATAAAATGAACAAATTATTCATGGAGCACATGAAGGTAATCAAACATTCAATTATAACATCAATGATACAGCAAATAATTTCTTTCAGATGAGAATGAATCATCTTCTTGGTTTACTTTTCTAGTAGGTTCATTTCCAGAACCTGAACTTGGGAAACCAACGACAGTTACTCTTCCCTCACCGGACATCATGTTCATCACCAATTCTAGTATAGTTACAAGATTGACAGGTTCAGAAAAACTCGAAAATCACTGCTTCTGTTACAGTTAGTTACAAAATTATAGGGATTAAAAAACGCCCAACATGAGCAAATGAATGAAATCTAACCTTGATGCTGTGGATTTACCTATAACACTACCTCTGAAGTTCTATGATCCTCTTCCATCTCAAGTTCTTTAATTAGCCTTTCGATCTGCCTTATGTAAACCGGCATGAAGTGATCACTAATCATGGTCTGTGAAAGTCTCACCTTACTGTATAAAGACCTTGAAGTTAGGAAAATCCCAATCTTGGTCTCGTCTGGCTGGCTTTTGTCTGAACTAGAAGAGATTGGGCCAGCTTCATTTTCACACTTCGTTGGACTAGAGCTTAGCGTAACAATGTGCATTATCCTTCCTGGAGGGAAGAATCTGTGAACTTCCTTCACTTTTGAAGCCGAACTCAAGGTTTCGCTATTAGTTTCCTCCTCCATGGCTTCCACTTCTTCTTCCCTTATCTCATTTTCAACTGCAGCCTCCTCTCCTTCAGTTCTGTCACGCAGCTCATGTTTCAGTTGTTGCCATAGCTCCGCGTCATTCATCTGATCACCGTCATTAATGTCAACATCCCCCTCAGCATCTGAATTCATTTTACTGATACAAGAGCACTCTCCTACAGATGAAGGTACAGGTGAGTCTTTATTCTGGACTGCATCCCCATGCATGCCCTTCCTGGAAGATAGAAGTGGTTCAGAACTTTCTTCTATGGCAAAGGCTGAATATTTTGAAGAGTTCTCCTCTTCTGTACAGTTTGAGCGTGCATCCACCATGACTTGGCAACGGGGACCCATGCATGACCAAGATGAGAGGCCAAGGGCAGGACGTCTCCATGCTGCCTGAGCCATGCTATGAGCCCTCCTCATCACAACCTATAGTCGCTTAAAGTTCAATTTGGGAAGTATAAGTAAATAAGGATGAGGTAGTAAACTTTGGATACAACCAGGCCAAACAAACAAACAAAAACCCATTTTATAACAGAATCAAGAAGACCAAAAAATTAATTCTCCCAAATCATGCTTATGAATGAAACGTAGCTGGTAGTGCTTTTATCTTGAGGAGTAAAGGTCAATAAACATGATTTTGTTCAGTACATAAGAGAGAAAAACAGAGATATTTTTCCCAATGTAAAGTTTATTGAGTCCTTCTTTAGGCAATAATGCGCTAGTGATTAATAACTGGTCGCACGAAAAGAAGAAAGATACCTGGGTACCATTTGAAACTGGTTGTAAAATTGCCCCAGCTCCAGCAACTGTTGCTCTGGCAGTGGCAATGGATGGGAGGTGTGAACCCAGTGCTGAAGCAGAACGGTAAACGGTACTGAGAATTCTTGTCTGCTCAATTTGATTCCTCAAGTCATTTATCCATGCTGATGCTGTCACCTGCAAATAACAAATTGGACAAATGAATTCCATACACATGTGAAGCAGAATAACCCAAAATACACGTATTTGTGCAAATGATTAGAAGCCAAGCCTAATACTTTATTGAGGCAGCTAAATCAGCTGCAAAATGACTGCGCTAAAGAATTTGACTTCATGAGATGGTTATTGATCAAAGTTTCTGACACAGCTCCTTTCACACACAGTTCTAAGGGTGATTAAAGACGTTCATGACCATCACTGTGTCGCTGACAGCCTGCAAACTAAATTGCAGAGTTTTCCTATAGCCCAGCACTGTTCACCCTAAGGCTTTTGAAATTGCTTTCAGCAACACTGACTTCAAATTTATGCTCTCCAACAAGCATATGAACAATTTTGTGTTTAAGATTTTGTTAGCTACCATAACTTAAACCAGACAAAGAGCAGTGACCAAAGGTCAAGTCTTCCAATAAACAGAAATTGCAATCTAGCACTGCAAGGTATGACATACTGTTCTACACCTAGAGCCTATAACAACATTTTCAAATCTCATAGAAACCTGCACAAAATAAAGTACACAAATTTGAAAATGACCTCAGCACGCAAATCATCCACAGAAGCAGCAGAGAATGTAGGCACCAAATCAGCTCCATTTATAACAGAAGTAATAAAATGATTGCCTGATTCTGCCAACTCCCACGTCATACAAGCACCTGCAAGAGTAACAAGCAGTAAACACCAACAATTGAAGGATACTCACTATCACAGTTATAAAGTATAAACCAATATAATTCCAAATGATTCAGGTTATTGGCTTAGTATCCATAAAATTTGAGTATAAGCAGAGTCATTTAAGAACCAAGGAATACAGTATCTGAGACAAACCTGGAGCAAATGTAACACAACTAGTCTCTGACAATTCCTTTTGCTCTCTTAATATAAACGTTAGAAGTGCTGCTGTGCCTCCCCCCAAAGAATGACCTACAATCTACAAAGAAGACCTTCAAAAAATAGTCCTGGAAACATCAAACTAAAGCAATAAAAGCATATCATACCCAAAAATAAATAAAAGTTTGAGGTATGGCACACCTTGACAAAAGTGAAAATTTCAGAATTAAATAGCCACATAACATATTATATACTCCGAAACAATTTCAACTTCAAATAAAACAACTCTTTTTTGTTGGGCTATATAATCAACAGTGCTCTCATATGATTGTCAAATTCAAAATAAGTCATGACCACAATCTCTAACATCTTCACAAGCACTAGCCATCCACAATTGACCACTAGATGAAGCAAGAGAACACGAAGACCATCTCCATCATTAGCCCTTAGTAATCAAATAGAATCAATATGAGTAGAGGGGAAATGATCTTTACCTTAATTTTATAGTCAGGGTTTTTGCCAAGTGATTCAATAAGACAAGGAGTAGTGATCTTTGCAATCCATCGAGCAGCTGCAACCATTCCACAATGTGCATAACCTAAGACCAAATCCCTCACACCGCCCTCATGCACTACAGCGTGATGAAATGGCACCACAGCACCTGTAGCAGCTGTCAGAGTATCCTTGATACTATGTGTACCACGAATCAACAAGAGAAAACATCTGGTCTTGTGATCAGCAATTACTGTAAATGCTGGCTTCAAAATCTGCATGAGAAATAACCAGACAATTAAGACAAATATAGTCCTCTGAATCCAAAAAACAGCAGACAATATGGACCTCTCAGAATCCCCGGTACAATTGTACAGCTCTTTGAAACCATTTTCTATCCCTTAAAAACAACAGCATCTAACACCTCAGCCGCCCACCCTTACACAAAAGAAAGGAATGTAAACAATGATATCAATTAAAAAAAAAAAGGCACTTACTCCTGCTTTAGGCTCTTGAAGGAGAACATTCTCTTCAGTGTAGCCAGTTTCTTCCAGAAACAGAGGAAGTGGCTTCTTTGAAAAATGCCAACAGAGTTCCAGCAAATATAAGAGATATTCAAGTTCAGCAGTAATCTCAGATCCTTTCAACCGTATACTATCTCTACCACCAAATACACTGTCAACGAGAAAGTTTCCCTACGAAGTTTCACCATGGAATGTTAATATTTAAAGTAGTTAAGAAATAAATAAAATAATAAAAGAGGAACGTTGAACCCATAAAACCCAAAACATTCGTAGGCCATCAAAAGAGAGTTGAAGCTTGGTGAAAATAAGTTCCATATTTTTTTTTGGCCAAAATAAAGTTCCATAACTCTGTTGATAATTCTAAAGAGATAAGGATCCCATGTCAAAAATCAGAAACAATAAACTTTGGACTTCCCCAACATCAATTAAATAAGATTGTGAACCTTAGAATGGCCTCCCGATAATTCAGTTCTAGTTCCACTTGAAAACATGCATCTTTCCTTGATATTTTTCATCCTACTATCAATAGACCTAATCTAAACAAAACACACTACAATTTACTAATGTCTTTCAGCTAAAAAAGACAAAGGAACCAGCAAGGGGGCAAAAAAAAAAAATAATAATAATAATAATAAGAAAAAGGGAAAGGAAAAAAAAAAAAAAACTCACTTACCTGTCTCTTCAATAGAAAGGTTATACCAAATGCCAAATCTCCAATGGGCCACTTCCCAAGAGTCTCTGAATATGTAAAACGGAGAGTCTCTGACAGTGTTGATATTGTCTCCAACCAAGTAGCAGGGGCTTGAATTAATCTATGAGAAACACGGTCAATTCCTAATGGCATCTTCGTGGGTGCATCAGCACCACTATAATTGTCTACATTATATTCCTTGCTTGTGCAACACTGTAATCTCCGATTCAACGTATAGTATAAGAGAGCCGCTGCGCCGGCCGCAGTAGCCACGGTTGCAGTTGCCATGATTGTGTTATCCCTATAACAACAGTCCACAATTCCATACATTAATAAAGGACGCCAAAAAAGTGGTATTATATGTGATTAAATACAGTTGGGGAAAAAAATCATATGGTTTCATCATTTTCCAACTTCAAATCCTTCATCTTCCTTCCCATGAAAGATTAAATAAACTAAATTGATGAAATTGTTGTAGCATCAATCATAATTACAGAAACAAAGTTCGTGAGAGATTGAGCCTGACATTTCCCGTTCTTAGAGGCGTTCGAACAGAAGAAACTACATGGAGCGCAAGGGAGAAAGTAGCTTGAACCAGCACACTAATAAAAATAGATGTTGAAAAAATCAGATTTAAAAATACAAACAATTCATTAAGAGGGAAGAGACAAAATCATCACAGGGAAAACTAACATTATATATAAAAATAAAGGAACTCTATGAAGAACATGAAGAGATGCAGAATCCTAAATCCCCTAAAGATAGAAAAGCGGAGAGAGAGAATTGAGAGAACCTGGAAAATCAGATTTTGGTGGCCAAAAATAGGTTGTCTCGAAGGCATTAAAATTTTCCACTGAAGCATCTAATTTTAACGAATGAGATATTCAATTTTACTTCAATGCATGTCTAATTTGAACGCATGAGATTTTCAATTTGGCTTCAATACATAAATATATTGAAATAGAAACAGCGTTTGTTGATTGCAATTGTAACTGCAACAAATCAAAAGCAGAAAGAGTTGGTTTAACAGTGACGCGGCGCACGGGAGATGGTTGAAGATGAAAAAGGTACTAACGGACGTGATGGCGAGTGGCGACTGCCAACCAGTCGGTTCTTCTATTTTTAAATTTATTTTTGAGCATATATTTATTTATATATTCATGATTTTATAAAATTATATACACAAATTTGTCTGCAAATTATTTGAAGTATTAAAACTTGTTCATCATATTAATGTTAATTGATGATTCGTATGCATTATAATATAAATTATGAAAAACCAAGTTTGCTTGAGGTTATCAAAATTACGGCGCCAAAAAGCTCTTGCATCTCCTCCGTTCAAGCTTCAAAGTTTCAATGTTATCCACGTGATAGTTGATTTCTCCCTTTTGATATGGCTTTGAAAATGGCAAGAATGTTTGATTGCAGGAGTTTTGTTGTGAAGGCTTAAGGGTGCTTAACATATTTATTAGAAGATTTCAAATTTTAAAAATAAAAAATAAGATATTATATCTAAATCACGATATAAGTAATTGTTAATTAATTTATACTTTTTAAAAAAAGTTTATTAAAATATTAATTTATAAATTTTTTTATATCTTTTCAATTATATCTTTGAATGGAATAAATATAATATGATTTATTTAAAACATCATAATTAATTATTTGAGTAAAATATATTAAAAAAGAATATAATTGAAAAAAATATAAAAGCCTACCTAAAGGGAGTTGGGGAAAAAAAAAAACGACTATATTGTAATCTAAAGGGACTTGGGGGGGAAAAAACCTCTGAAGCCGTAACATAGCTCGTAGGGCTACACAAAAGACAGGACGGCACTGGACTTCACCCTAACCCGAAATCCGGTCTCTTTCATGAAAAAGACTGGATTAGGCAACCCGTAGTCCAGTCTTGTTCAGTGATAACCCGAAGATTAACAGGACCGGACTTGGTCCATAGGACTGGGAGACTGGTCCTGTCAGTCCAGTACTCACTTAGCTTTTTTTTCCTCTTTTTATTCTATGAGAGGCAATAATCCATTCTAACATAATAAACTCAATTAAGATAGTAAAAACACTTATAATAATAATAAATCCATAATAATTTCTAACAATAAGAAAAAAAATATTTTTGTTATAGTCTAAATTATTTAAATTTATAAACTTTAACAAAAACAGTACTCAACAAAATTCAACAACATTATATTACAATAACAATTTAGAAACAAACTTAATAAATCTTTATGCAATCATCTCCTTAGCATCAATTACACTTTAAACATTTGTCAAAAATAAATTAATTATAATTATAATAAAAAAATTAATAGGACTGGACTGGACCAAGTGGTCCGGATGCCTGATCTCTTGTCCAGTCCAACCCGAAAAAATAGTCTGGTCTTTTTAGTCCTTTTGGTCCTGAAGGACCAGTGACTATACAGACCGAACAAGATTGAGACCATCTCGGGTTGGACTGGACCAGACAAGACTGGAAGACTTTTGCACAGCCCTAATAGCTCGTTTCTTAGACATGTAAAATAATGATTCTTGGCTCAGGAAGAATGTTTATAGAAATTAGAAGTCATCAGAATTGGCAAACATCAATTCAGATATCAAAGGAATAAGAATTAACATGTTTGACAATTTAAGCTAAGCTGATAAAAATTGAACAATTATCCTCATCATATAACGAATTCAAGATTTTCCTCCCCCAAGATCTCACAGCAGCTTAGAACTCAATCACGCTCACTTATGGCAGTCAAGTGTTCATCAATCTCCTCCGTGGATAGGACTCTAAACTTTGGATTTTCCTTCTGCACTACCCCAACCTACACAATCCATAATATAGTTTACTCACATGACACCAGTGAAAATAAAAATCATATTTTATGTATTAAGAAGAATAAGGAAATGTTCATGATCCTAGGAAATATAACATCTATAAGAACCTGTATTGATCACAGGCTATGCAATTCGTTCCCTGTACTAAGTGTGACACAACATGGCCCATCTAATTAAGAAATCATATGCAATGATACAATAAAAGTATTGAAACTTCAAAGTTTTGATAGTTGGTACCTCAATCTCAGTGGCCTTGAAATCCTCTTGAAGAACTGATTGCAGTGCGGATATAGCAGTCTGCGAAAAGTAACAGAAAAGTATAAAAAGAATTTATTAAAGAACCATAGCAGAAAATATAAGCTCACTTTCTCCAAATCTGAAAGAGCCACACGTTGCTAACTAGTGGAGGGGAGAACCAAATCAGAATTCCTCACCTTTGGCGGTTTTTCATGCAGCCAACAAGCCAGGGCTTAAGCGGGAAATCAAATTTATTTTTTTCTCTTTAGTTTTTTCTTTTTCGTTCATAGTTCCTTTTTCAGTTTTTAAAGACAACTGTTTTGATTGGATGACATGCTCTTAAAATTACTGGTCAGCATACTTCAAATCTCGTGCACAACTCCATTTTACAACGAGAGATAGCTATGGTAAGAAATTGTTCCATCGGAATAAGCAAGGGTCATTCCCTGACTCAACCTAAGTCATTAGAAAAGGATACCTGCACTGTCTCTTCAAAGGTAAATGAAGGGTCATTCTTCATCTTCTTTTCTAAGAAATTAATTGCCTCTTGATCTTTCAATCCAGCACTTGTAGCCTGAATACATCATGCATCCCCCCCCCCCAGAAAAAAAAAAAAAAAGCTACAATCATTGCAGGCATAGCACAACCAAATACAGCAATGAACAATCCAACCCAATTCATCAGTTAATGAATAGCATCTCAAAGAAGAAATAGGACCACCATTCATTGACCAGAGATTAAAAAGCTCAAAACCAATGAATTGAGTAGTTTGACTTGTGCTTAAAAAATAACTGCAGTCTCGATGCAGTTTTATTTTTTATTTTTTAATTTGCTAAGGAAATAAATTTAACATTTAAATAGGATTGATATATGATCTGAAATGTACCTTGTGACCAAAGTAATGGCCAGCAGGGTCACATTTATAAAGTCGAGGTCCATATTCTTCATCAATTCCCAAGATCATAGCAACTTCCAAAGGCAGTAAATTGGAAACCAAGGGAAGCAGAAATAAAATCAGTAATGTAAAATGAATTTTTTTTGAAAAGAAGACCACGTATGATGAGATGATTAAATATTTAACAAAGAAGAAAAAGGAACAAGAAAAGAAAACTTTTAGCAGAAAGAAGTAATACAAACCTACACCAAGTGGTCTCATGTAAGCATGCTGAGTATAGACTTGTGACTTGTCAGCAATCCTGTACAATAATAGGTTTCAACAACCATCAGATACATTTTGCCCAAAAAAAAAAAAACAACCATCAGATACAGAAGATGATACTAAAAATGTGTATCACAAGCTCACAGATTAAAAGGAGTAATGCTTGGATAATGTTATGATATGATTCATCAGACAGATTAGAAAATCTGTTATCTATCAAAAAAATTTAATATAAATTTGAATCATGTAGCTACTTTTCATTCTTAAAAACTTCACTCCAAGTTTTTTGGGATGACTTGTCCTCAAAAGCTTACCCAGACATACATTTTGATTCCAATCTAACTATCCTTAAATACAAGTTCCAAAGTAAAATATAAATAGAAGTGGACAGAGAAATCAACCACAGTACCTGACAGACATTTTTAAATAACTGATTTCTCTTTTCAAAAAAGTTCTTGAAGGCTTTTTAAACAAAAGAAGAAATCATGACAATGAGTGATCACAGACATAGATTGGGTTCAACCAACAGTCTCATACTCTGCTCCAAGGTTGATTGAAATGAATTCTATTTGCCCTTTTTGCATTAAATATGAAAGTTTCTTTAGGGAGAAAGAAAAGGTACAGCTATGCTGGCAGATAGGGACCCTCCAAAAATGAATGAACCAAATCAACATATTATCCACACACACATGACAAGAGAACTTATCTCCAGGGTCCCATGCAAGAGATAACAAGCTTATACTATTCTGTAACTTACTCCTGCAACCAACAAGTCTTTCCTTATTAAACCATGCACTGCTAAAGAAGCTTCTGACATTCTTTTCCATGAAGTTTTATGCAAGCCAAAATAGTCCAGAAAACTGTAATTCTTGAATTCTATTACTGTTGAATAAAGGATAATACAGTACCCTAACATTTTACTAGCCTTGAACATCACTTATATTACATTCCTAGTGACTGGATGAAAAGTTGAATGACCTATTAATCTCATCATATAGAAAACAGAGCTAGAGAGAATCACATCCTATTGGAAAAATTTAAGGAAAGTTTGTAATTTTAATTGGCGTACAGCCCCAAATAAGGATTTGTCTCACTGTCAGTTTGGAGAGGAAGCAATATATATTTTAGTAATGTTATAGCATATGATGTCAAGTTCTTCATTAGACAAGTGCAGATGAGGGTGCAGAGGAAGCTTCATAAGAGAGATCGAGTCTTTAAGGAGTTCTTCAATTGTGGAAGCACGTGGGCCAAATCGTGGATTTTAAGACACCACACATTTGAACTGCAGAGGATATGTGCTTACATGCTGTTTCATTGAATAACAACATATTAATGTGTGAAGACTGGACCACAAGGGTGCAGCCAACACTTTTCAAAAAACACACATACACAAACAAAACAGAATAAGTTGCAGAAATGAAACAAAGCAATAAGTCTCAAACAATATTTGCCAGCTTTCTAGTTAAAAAAATAAATAACTTACCACTTGGCTAATACATCCACCGGCATCTCATATCCATATGTAAAGCGAAACTCAGCTGCTTCATTCCTTGCTTGCTGAACCAATGTCCTTGCATCAGCTGGAAAGACATTACAAAACAAAAGTGAACTTGCAGAAATAACAATAGTATATGCTCAATTTATCTCTTTGCTGAAATGTTAAAGCTATCACATTATTAATGTCTCTACTGTGACCACATATCAAGTACACTCCAAATGAAATTTTGCAAGAGAAATTGGGTGTTGAAGAGCATCTACCCCATAATCTATAGTGAGATCAACTCATCATATTACTGAAGTCCCCCTGGTTTCAAATGAATAGTAAAAGAGAAAAGGTTCATCTGTATTTGTCAAGGATGAGAGGATCATATTTGACACTCCCAACAAGCAGGAAACTACAAGAATGTAAACCGTCATTGCCTATTTCAACATAGCCCCCTTGTTTTCTGCTCACTTATAAGTCGTCAGCTACTCTGCTAATAGAAATTTAGAGTCATAAATTTACCACGATTGAATAGAATGCAATTACAAAAATGGCCACTAACTAGCGACCCAATATATTTAGGCGCCAACCTAATTCAATCATTTAACTGGGATGTCCATAAAATCTGTAGAATGTACGCAACAAGCAACAAACACACTTTATTGAGAGTATGAACTTAGAAAATTTTCCAACCTGTCAGCCCAGTCGCTAATAAACCAAGGTACTCGGTGATGGGAAAGAGATGTGTGACACTAGTCTGATCCAAGAACTTGTCCTGCAGTAAAATTTTCAATTCAACAACTTGCACAATTACTGAAAATAATAAACTACAAACTAAATGCACTCACCGGAACCTTTTTCTGGGTGACAACGCAGACTGAATCCTTCCCTCGGACGCCAATTGACGTAATGCCAGCAGACTTAACAGCCTTGAAAGCATATTCTATATTTGCATTTGGAAACCGATAAATTTACTATTGAACACATCTTGGACTAAACCAGAAATCTCAATTCAAAAAATGATATTTTTCAGCCGATGGAAAGGGGTTCCAAATCGTAATGTCTTTAATCTTAAAATTACAAACAACAGTTTCAAAAAGATCATGGATGCAAACCTATTAAAGAATGGCACTTTGCGTTGAACAGAAATCAAAACAAGGCTAAAATATAACTTGGATATTGTTTTTACTTACCCACTTGAAAGAGACGACCTTCAGGCGAGAAAATAGTTATATGACGATCGTATCCTCCTCCACTTCCGCGACTCATGTTTTGAGGCTTGGATTCTTCGGAGGTTTTCCTAAGATTTTGAGGTGCGAGTGGAAGACAATGAGGTCGAATTAGAAAGAGAACGAAGTTCAGAGAGGCGCACACAGACTTCCCCCTTTCTTCCTAGATCGCAGTTGCAGAAAAAGAAACACATAAAACTTTCTCCCAAAGAAATCCGGAGCAACGATGTCGTTTTGCTTGTTTGGCGCCTGAGTTTTGCCATTTCTGTTTACCACAGAAAAAAGTAAAGAAAAACTTTTAACTGTACGTAAGATAATTAAAATTAAAACAAATTTCAAAATAATTTTTTATCCTCAAACCTAATTTTTCCCTTTAATTCTTTAACAAAGATTTGAATCAAAACGGAAACACTAGGAATTAGTCTAAAAAACATATTCATCTCTTGCGGGGTTGAGAAAAGTATCCATATGTATTGCCAGAAATAGCCTTTCTTTTATTTATAAAAAAAATAGCCTTTCTTTTCCAGAAAGTTTTTTTAAAAAAATCTAAGTAGTTAAGGCATTTTCTTTTAATCTTAACAATCTTAAAAGTTAGACCAAAAATAACTTTCAATGAATAATTTCTACTCATTTGCCTTACTGGGTTGTGGTATGTTTGAGTTTGCTTCTCTCCTCTTATCAATCTCTCTCCTTCCCTTCTCCATCCTTGGATCTCAACTTCAATAGTTGAGATTTAATATGTTATAAAATTATTATTATTATTATTATGTTAAATAATAAATAAAAAAATTTAAATTATTAAAATTTGATCCAAGCAATGAACAATTATAGTAAAAAAATAGAAAATCAATTAAAATTAACATGAATTATAGAGATTCCTGTCATTTAAGCAAATGTGGTTGGTAGTTCAAATATCAACTCTTATGTACTTAGCAACTTAATTAAAAGAGGTCCACTCTTTGCCCTCAATGTCTCAGAAAAGATCATATATACTGCCAATGAAACCTATTCCTTATACTTACAAAAAAGTTAAAAAACACTATTTTATAAAGTATTTTTTATTACAGTTTTGAACTGCCTCAAGTCAAATTTTAACAATTTAAATTTATTTATTCATTATTAAATGTTACAATAATAATTTTATAACAAGTTAAATCTCAAAAACATTGAAGTTGAAATTGAAAACTAGAAGCTAAGAGAAGCGTAGGAGGAATGAAACCAGCTCAACTCAACTCGGACTCAATGATATTGTGAATATTGAACAGTAAAACCGTAGGTGGAAGTCCTTTCATTGGGCTGGGCAACGAGAAAGTGCTTAGATAAAATGGAAAAACAAAATCATTAATAATTTTAATTTTATTGAGTTTTATTTTTAGTCATTTAGGTTCCTAAAATTTTATAAGACTGAAAACAGTCCTTATCAATGTCTGAAAATATTAAAAAATAATAATAATTAAAAGTGAAATTGATAAAACTATAAAAACTAATGACTGTTATTTTCCTAACAAAAATATGCCTTTTTTTAAGGGGGTTTAAGTTGTGAAAGATACAATCCTACTGAGATAAAAAAAAAAAAAGAAGTCATAAATCCAGTAGGATTAGCTGCGTAAATTGAGTTAGTATCGATTACATGTTTTAAAAAATTACATATTGGAAACAAACAGGCCATATTTTCCATCTAAGATTATAAATAATCAAATTACCTAACTTTTTAGTTTAATAAAAAAGGAGAGCAAAATGTTCGATAGAATACAATAACATTATGAAATTCATAAAGTCAGCCTCAAGGTAAAATTAAATAAGGCTTGTTATTGTTGGTTTACCTTAAAAAAACCAAAAGGCATGTTATTGTTGTGTAATAAAAGAAAGTAAAATATAAAATGATAAAAAAAATCTTTTAACTACTTGTAATTTACGAACATCTTTGGCTTTTGAGATAAAAACACGAGAATATATTTTCTGATTAACCCATCTCCATACAAGAGACTCACGTTATATAGGATATATGATTTTTTTTTTTTTTTTGGGTAATCAAAGGAGGCTCAAGAGGCATAAAGAAAGAAACCAAAGCAGGAAGATAAAAGTAAAAAAAAAAAAAAAATCACTTCCTCAATTCCCCCTACAAAGCAAATCCCCATCTCATCAGCAGTTTATTTTTAAAAAATAAAGAAAGAAGGGAGAAATATAATTGTTGGTCTTATTATTTTTAGGATTTGGATTCAATGATTATAGTTATTGAAATTTATTTACTATCTAAACCATTAAAATTTATATCAACAATTCAAATAAATTTACTCATTTATTAATTTAAAGTGAATTATAAATTTAGAACCATTAATCTAGATTTTGATGGTGTAAATAATACAGGCACTTAGTGCCTTATTAAGTACAATCATTCAATCCAAATCTTTATTTTTAACATGTTTTAGTACAAGTTCCTATAATTTGTCACTGTTCCAAATTCGTTAAGTTTCATTAGTTTGCAATATTAGTCCTCATCATTACTCGCAAAATTAAATATCTAATTTGTACATAACTTTATTAATCTATTGCTAATTAAGTTAGTAAAATTATGAATTTGTGTTTAATAACTGTACTTAGCACAGGTACTCAACTAAACTGTTGAATTTAAATTAATGGTTTAAATTCATACTCTATTTGAGATTAATGAATGAGTGAATTTATCTGAATTGTTGATATAAATTTCAACGACTCAAATACTATAAGCATTCAGTACCTACAGTCACTAAATTTAAATTCTAAAGTTATAATGAGTTGGATATTGTAATAGCAAAATAACCATTAATCTTTCTATTTGTTTGTACTAGCTGACATGTCTTCTTCTTTTGAAACTCCATCCACTACATGTTTAAAAATTTTGATTTTATATAATATTTTTTGTCAAGTACTTAGCATAATTTTAATAAGTTAACACAATAAGTAATAGTGTTTATTTATGTTAGCGACTATTAAATTTTGATGATCATATTTAAAAATATAGAGACTAATTAACATTATAGACATATAAAATTTAAGAGATTGGAGTAAAGAAAAAACAATAAGAACTAATATTAAAATAAGCAAAAAAAAAATCAGGGGCTATAATAATTATATTTTTTTTCATAAAGATAAAAGATACCAGGTGATACCATCACGTAAGAGTTGAGCAGCCTCATCTCCGGAGCATGTTCTAAAGTCCAGAGCTTGATTATGGGAAAGCTTAGCAAATATGTTTGCAACTCCGTCATACACTGTCCCCAGCTCTCTTTGCAACATGAGTTCACCTCACAGACAAAGTCACGATCCTCATGCAGCTTGCTGATATCTGACTTTATCAGTTATATAGCTTCAACCGACTCATAAAAGCGTTTGATTTTTTGTTTTTTTGCTTGTTTTGAGTCCGATCCCATGTTCCAAGCCCGCTGAAGACACATGAGGCAACCCCAAAGCTCAACACTAAGGTGATCCCCATGGCCTGTGTGACTCGAAATAATGATTCCATCGCATCGACTTCCTCTAAAGAAGATAGAGAAAGCACCATCAACGCAAGCAATGTCAGCATCTATCACAATGCTAGCGCCAAGTGCCAACCTATAGTTTAACACTTCATCTTACATCTTAGTCCCATTTCAAATAAAACAGGATTTTTATAAAAATATAATTCATATTATAGAATCAAATAAAACAAACATTTTGACATTTACTGTCAGTAATATATTTTACATATCAATGATAAGTCTCTTTTATTTAAATTTTTAATGATAAACTTTTTGTATATTAATATAAATCGGCCATATTTATAAATTTTTAAAAATTTAATTTATATTTTCTGGATATAAGATTTTTTTTTTGCTTAGAGAGCCAATTTATCAGATAAAATATGTCGTGAAAATATAAATAAGATAAAAAATTGATATTCTCTACTATTCTATTATCATCTTCCACTGTCCATTGGAACACTTGACATGTGGGAGGGTTGTTACTCCCAACTAGAATATTGACTGTAAAAAGTTGATATATTTTCAATACATTGTTATTTGGATGACATATTGATGATTTGAACAAATTAAAGATTTGCAAACTGTATGAAAAATCAATATATATAAGATGTAAATTTTTAAATTTAATATAATTATATATAGTTTATTCTCTAATAATTTGTAAGTTATAAAATTATCTCAAAAAATTAATTGTTATGAAAAATTGAAAAAAAAAACCCCTTAAATTTGCGCGAATGAGTTGGGAAGCCAGATACATATAAGGAAGATGACTGAGTCACCAGAGTCGCAGCAAAAGCCAAATCTAAAATCACAAAATATGGACAACCGTGTTAGCCTCTATATCGTGGTCACGCCACCAACTAAACCTCCATTGAAAATCTCCAATCTGTGAAGCTCTAAATGCTATCACTCCCACCAAGATCGATAATTTGAAGCGAATGTCGGCTTCCGCGGTCAAGTTCTTCCTCAGCATCGGAGGCCGTGACAGTCGATATGCCTTTTCCGTCAAGTCCTCTGATCTGGACGCCTGGATCTCCAATGCTATGGAATCCCTGAAAAAGATCATCCTCGACTACAAGCTTGATGGCCTTGACGTACGTTTATTACCAGCACATCGATCGTGTGGAGGAATTTAAGGAATTTAAGGATGCGATAGGGCAGGTCATAGAGAACCTCAAGAATGAAATGCCGGCCGACTCTTTGCTTTCTGTGATAATTGTTACTCGCCCTTGCACAAGGACCATGACAAGGAGTGTATTGACACTGGTTTAATTTACCAGACCCACACTTGGACTGTTTTCATTAAAACTTCTCAATCCCTCAAGGACGACGTACGTCATTAACAAAGTACCTTATCCCAAAGAAAAGCTCTTCGCGGGCACAGCACCCTGCCCCGGGATTGGACCGCCGTCCCCAAGCCCATCTTCCTTGATCGGCGCTGTTCCTCACATCCTCGGCGACATAAACTCGGCCACTTCCGGGATTTCCAACTGGACCGTGACCGGTGATGATAAGTTGATAAACCTGAGAAGTGAGAAGCCCAGGGGTTCCATGGATGCATGTGTAACCCCCTGGGGTTGCCGCCGCGCTAGCTCTTGGTGTTTTATGTTTCTGAATGCTGTGTCCGTTGGTCTGCCTAGCATGTATGCTTGCCATGTTGTACTTTTTTGCTTCCCGCTTGGTTGCTTG